TCTTTATTATAATCGGCTATAGTGACTCGAGCCATATGTCATACTCGACAGCCGTAGTGTGGCATACTCGAAGTTAGTCAAAAAATGGCATAAATTCACACAATGGCTGTAAAGTATGCCATTTGACCTTTTTGCTATTAAATTTGATCGTAAAGACTATATTACGATCAACCCTACTTAGGAAATTTTGGGAGCAACGTTGAGAAATTTGACAAAATAATAATTATATGATAATTAGCATTATTCTAGCTTATGGAATGGGAGTACGGCTTATAAAATTTGGTGCAATTTACTGCTGGACGGTTTAAGGGATAGTGAAAATTTTAATTTTGTACAGTACATATGGGATTGTTTTCCTTTGCATCACTCATAGATATCTTTGAATTACTGACCTTTATCAGGTAAAAGATCTTTTAATGGAACTAGCCACGAATGAAGTGGACGTTTCTGCACGATCTTGCTGCGTGTACTTGATAATTTTTCAAATTTATCGTAGGGTGAAACATAATTTCCGGCGAATAAGATATATTTAATAAGTAAATTTTCTCATTAATTTATAATGAAAATCTAATAATCTCCAGAGATCCGGATATAAAATAATAAATCTTATAATAATGTTTCGTGTTTGTTGAACTATATTGTCAAATATTGTACGTTTATTCCCAGTGGCAAGATTAACGGATTTATTACTTTGACCATCTAAATATACAAGTGTATCGATTGCATTTCTTAATATGTATATGACATCATCTTCATGTTCTATTTTTATCTGAATGTTTTTTCCTTCTTTGCTAATTAAAAGGTCAAATTTTCGTACGCCATATTTAACTTTGATAATTTTGAATTTTTCATAAGGTTCTTCTGGTTCTTCGGAGTTATCATTGACGATGCGAATGAATTCGAGCTTTTTACCACTCCAAACTTGTATAGTATTATTTCCTATAAAGAGTCTTACTTGTTTTTTTTTGTCAAGGTAGACGACATATCTTGGATACAAAGATCGCACACCATAAGAACCTTTTAATTTTTCCGCGGCCCACGGTTCTATCCGTTGGTAATATTTAAGTTCCGAATCATTCAAATTCGATAATAAAACCACCTCACCATCAATGTCGTAAGCATGAGGTTCCGATTCAGTAAATATACTCTCAGAAGGATCTAATTCTTTCCAACCTGAATCAGGATCTGATCTTCTCAAATGTTCACTCAGAATCAAGTTATCCCAAACTATTTGATCATCTTCGAAGTATGGCCTTATATTAAGAATTATGAAAGAGTCATTTTCCGATATAGGGCCAATAACAATTCTCGTCATACTCTTAATTAAACCCGGCGATATATTTTTTTCCAAAGGTATAAATTCGATAAATTCTCTGATAGTATTAAAAATATCCCAGACCGCCGCCGTCCTATCATTTTTGAATATCAATAATTTTTCATTATCAAAGACGAATTTTATAAACTTCACAGTAAAAATACCACTTTCAAATGATAAAGATGATAAGTCGAGTCCATTTTCTATCATGTAGATTTTAATATCATTTTCAGACGCGTACGCCAATAGCTTTTCATCGCCAGACACCGCGAATGCACCAGGTCTTTCACGATCCAGAATTGATAAAACAACTTTATTCCTTTTAAATACATTTATTAATTGATTAGTTCTTAAGTCATAAAGTTCTATATTTTTGTCAGGATCTCTTTCAAAAGTGTCTACTAATAAGTAATGACTATTTAAACATCTCAAAAGATATTTACGTATTACATCGCTTGATGGTGTTATAAAATGCATACTAACGGATTCACTACAATTATACTTCAATGCATTAATTATTCTTTCCGAATAATGAAATGCTAAAATCTCATGTCGAAATTGCATGTGAACAGATGAATACCATAAACGATGTTTATATATACCATTTCCTTTTAGCAAGACAAGCGTGAATTCGTCGGTTTCAAAAAGAAATTGGATTATTCCACCATCATCTATTTCTACTTTACATTCCATATCAAAGTTTTCAAAATCGCTTCTAATCATCCATATTTTGGTAAAACCACACCTACTTGGATTCTTTTGATCTTGCAGATCTTGCATATCGTTATTGCTTATGCATGATATAGCAATCAATCTAAATTTTTCTTGATGCTCATTTGACACAGCGACAAACCAACTTGAAAATTCATCTGATTTCATCAAATCAGTAAATTTAGTAGATGTTAATGGAACAGAATGCTCTTCGGCAAGCTCTTTATTTTTTTTATCTTCAATTTCATAAGTCTTGATTTTTTTGCATTCGTAAATTGAATACATAATTATTTGCTAAAAAACAAAATTCAAAATTATTAAGTTTCATTACCTTAAGAATCTTAAAATTTTATAGCATAAAGATTATAATAAGTAACCATTAAAACATACTGTCAAGGACAGCTATAAATGACTCATCCTGACTAATTGCTGCATATGTTGTAAATAATGTCGATTCTGTTATTAAATGATCTTTATCATTAATTGATATCTCAATATGGTCTTCCATATCTTTTATAACTTGTGAATTTCTAACTGTTAGTTAAACTTGCGAATCTCCGACTGTTTGTTAGTTATCCATCAAAAGGCAAAAATAAGAACAAATGAATTCTTATTTATACCTTTTCGGTATTTATGTTGGCTTTGCTGGCTAAGTCTAAAAAATTCTCACGTGTCGTTATTTATAAAGTTTGTTAAATATTTGTTTTTGCACAATATAAAGACATTTCTTTTCATCATTGTGGATTACACATTAAATTTATTGAAAAAAATAAATCAACACAATTTATTATTTATTTAATATTAAAATATGTCAACTTACTATTTGATATTGTAGTTTGTGTATTTAAAATGATTCAAATTATATACATAACTACTATTGGACATTCTTGTTTCGAAAGCACGAGATTTTCTCTGACAATTAAAAAAGCTATTTCATCTCAAATCTCAAATTAAAAAGAAACCATCGGGCAAATTAAATTAATTTACTAAGCGAAGATTCTAAGTTGTATCTATGTCCTACTATGAATATAACATTAAGTAACGGTAAGGATAATTCTGTTACTGACTTACGATACTTAATGATTTGATTGAGAACGTATAGCACTGCCTCAATTGAAGCCAAATCATATTGCATTTATGTTTTCAGTGGCTTGCAAGGCAAATGTGTAAACAAATACTCACATTTAATGCCATAGAACTTCTGGACTTTATTTTTTAACAAAATATGTCTTATCACTATTTTTGTTTTTATTCGAAGCCATTATAGAAAAGTTTTGACTATCCGGAAGCATCATTATTGTGGCAGATTAAAATGAAATCAGATTAAAATGAAATGAGGGATAGTGTAAAATAGACAAGCCACCGAAAAATACAAATTTTTGGGGTGCATTTTTTAGCATTTTTTTTAGGGTTAGGATTAGGATTTAGAAGCAGGTTTTATAATAAACAAGTATAGATAGGTTTTAGAGGGTCAAATAGAAATCTCTCATTTCATTTTAATCCGATTTCATTATGATCTGCGACAATTATTTATAATTTTTAAGCAAAAAAAAAAACAAGACTTATTTAAGGTGAGTTCAAGATTACTATTTCTCGAAAATGAGTGCGTAGTTATTCTTAAATATATATTTGTCGCTCTTTCTAGATGTTTACATTGAATCTTGCAACTGCCTGTCAGTCTTGTTTGGCGTGATGGTGTAACTTGCTCCGAAGACCTTTTCAATCTATTTCTTCATTACTCGATTAAGAAGAGTCGTCTTCACTGGTAGAATCAGTGTTAAATTTCTAATGTTCTCAGTGTTCTCAAGAATATTTAAAAAAATTTGAGAACATTGTATTTAAAAATCATGCTCTCTTTTGAGAACCAAGTTAAATTATAAAAAAAAAAGATAAAATCAATATTTCATTAGTTAATATTATATATGCTTAGACAAATAACGCTAATTTAAAATAAACATGCAGCAATATGCTTTTAATATGATTTGATTTTGTAGATTATTTCAGTTTTAAAGTAATAATTTTGTTGCAGCAAAATAAATTTATAGTTATAAATATGAGAAAAATCTTGTTGTTTCCACTAAATATGTTACAATTTGACAACCTATGCTAATTTTTTTTTATTTTATGTGAACATGTATAATTAAAATGAAGGAATAAGCCGGCTTAGCGAATTTGCGTTGTCGAGAGCACTCAAAAATATATTCAAAAATTCTTCCTTAATCCACAAATCAGATCTCAAGACATTTTGTCAAAATCGCTTATTTGTAAAAAATCAGTAAAAATAAAAAACTACCTTAGTGCTTTTATAAAAAATTTTCCTTAAGTGGGATTTTTCCTGTGCACAATTATCAACAAAACCTGGCATAGAATTTTTGTGCTTGTCGAGATATCTTTGTTCCGATTCAGCTCACTTCACCGACATTTATTTCGTAGTCATAGCATTTCACTGACAACAATTCACTGACATGTTATTTCACCAACATTTATTTTCCATTTCACCGACAGTTTATTCGCCGAAAATCATTTCACCGACAAAGTAATTCTGTCATTATCGTTAGGATCAGGTTAGAATTAATGCTAAGGTTAGTGGAGTTTATAAAAACAAATTTGATTATGAAATGAGCTTCGGTGAAATAAACTGTCGGTGAAATGTTATGTCTACGAAAGAAGTTTCGGTGAAGTGATACGTATCCCTTTGTTCAAATTTTGGTAAAAGTTAAACCGCATATTAAATACGTAGAAGCAGTGCAGGGACAGGGAATACTTCCACTATCAAATTGGAAACTTTTATCATACTAATATCAATTATTCCATTTTATTTCATTTTATTCCATTTTATTTCATTTTATTCCATTTTATTTCATTTTATTCCATTTTATTAGATTAACACATGATACTATATTTAAGTTCATCATTTGCAAGCAATTTATTTTATTTTTTATTTTAGCAATGCAATCAAACTTTTAATTTTGATTGTTAAAATATAACATTGTAAGAAATTTAAGCGATTCTGTGCTTAAATTGTGCCTATCATCATCTAAGTTTTTGTTATAGGCAGAAAAACTTCGTTCTACTGCACAAGCAGAAATTGGTAACCACATATAATAGCTGGCAATTTTTCTAAAAGAGGAAGTTACGAAGCAACTTTGTCCCAAAACATATGTAGATTTGTAAATTCTATAGTGCTCAAGTTAATATCGCAATAAATTGTTCATTCTTGTAAAAGAGATGATGAAGGATTAACGAGCTTTTTAATAGTTTGATAGGAACAGATATCCCAGTTAGCAGTTGTTAGTGATAAAAACTGTGGATCAAAAATTTAAACTGCTTGAAACAAAGAATGTACAGAATGTTGTAAAACATGGTTTTGAAGTTTTTATAAGCAACATTAAATGTTTGCTGAAATACTGGGGCAAATAATATTGCCAAAATATTTAATTTTTGTAGTACTACATTTACTATTAGCCTAAAATTAGTCACTATTGTTCCTGCAATTATAAATGCTTCAAGTTATTGTAATCTCTGTTCAATAAAAGGAAACATCAGTTTAGCTTCTTGTTGAAAAAAATCAATATTAGCAACAAAATGCTCTGTATTTTCTTGAATAAATGTCAAATAAATTTCTATACAAGAATTTACTCATTGATCAACAAAAACTAAATTAATTTGTTTAATTGTTGGTGTAAAATTTTCTCTACCTTTTTTATTATAAAATTCATAATATAATCCAAGTGATGATATATATAAAATATCATATGAAATTGAGCATTTTATTGTATTGCATTAAACATTAGTATGTTTGTTGAATTAGATACTCCATGGTGACAAAGATGTAATAGATAATATGCATGTCTACTTTTACACAAACTAAAAATTTGTTTAATATTTGCAAATAACTAGTGAATAATTGAAAGTGCTCAATTGAAAACTATGCTTCTCTAAAAAAAATAATATTACTAATAATAATTAAAATATAAAACAAAAATTAAAAATACTAATCTGATAAGATTAATAATATGCATTAAACATACTATATTTTTGTATATTAATGTGCAGGGGTGTAATTTCAAATTTTGGCCTAAATTAAGCTTAATTCAAGCCAAAATTCAAAATAATGCTCATGGATATTATTACACAAAAATATAATAGTAAGTGTATTAATTGTAGCATTATAGGTTTTAATATTTTATAAATTTTTTTTCATATAAGTAGTTAAATCTGATACAATTAATTAAAAAAAATTAACTATTGAATTAAAATTTGTACTATAAGTTGATCTACACTACAATTATCAACTGTTTTTAAATAATTAACATAAACTAATTTTTTTATATCTTCATAACTAAAAAATATATTAACTATATTTCAAGCTCTAATATCATTTGTTTTATTCATAATGATTGAAACTCTTTGATTATTAAAATATTTTTTAAGTTGATTAAGATGTTTTTTAAATATTGATGACATATATTTTACAACTCTTCCCAATGATCATCTGGTTAACAAAAATCAAAAAACTGAATTATAGTCAGCATTATAGAAGATACTAAAGTAAATAATAAACTTAGTTCTATAGAAATAGATGTGTTGTTAACAAAATACCAAGAGTATAAAACCAAAGTGTGGTCTACTTTGGACTAGCTTTGGTAGAGGTCAAGCTTCTTGCTAGCAGACTTCTTTATTTTTATTCAGCATCCAAACCAGAAGAATATTTTGAAAACACAAAATGTCTAGTATAATATCAGGAGTATTACAAGCTTTGAATATTTCTATACAACTATAAAACTTACAAGAAATAACCACAGAAAGTTTTATTGACCTATCACTTTTTTTTTAAGAAAATTTTGTCAAAAAGTAGGTATTTTAGTTTACTTTCTCTAAAAGATCATTTATAATTTTTCAAAACAGTCAGCATTGTTTATCTGTTT